AATGCTCTTTGTCCAGTTGAAATCTTGTCATGATAACTCCAAGACTGTAAATATCTGATACTTGAGACCCATTAAAACCTCAGGTGCTACAAACGGCAGAATTCCTTCACTTCTCTAGAAAGTCCCAGATTAGTAGTATGCGCTATGCAAATAATCAAACAAAATATTTCATTATTAAAATTTTTTTTTAATATAATTAATTCCAAGCATGATTGATCGATTAAAAATACTTAGCTTGAGTAGTTTAAATGATCTCTATGTTTAACAGTTAAGATCTATGGAAGTAAATAAAATTAACAAGACTAAATAATAAAAAACTGATTAAGTAACTGTGATCTTTAACCGTTTAGCTGTTGAAGTTCTTGGATTTTCACATATTGGCCTCTTAAATGCATAAAATCTTGTAATTTTTTGAGTCTCATTCACCTTTTTGACGGGAGTTAACCAGTGCTGATTAATTTTGATTATTGAAACTAGCAGTTTTTTACCATCTATTAAGGTATCATTTTGTGAGTTTTTAATAATGGGTCAGGTGTATAAAAAATTCCCGAAGAATGTTGACCAAAGGGCATATACGAACTAATCAAATCTGAGATCTGGCACGTAGATCATTCTAGAATCAGATTTCCTAATTTGGTAAATCCCCTGACTGTATTAGATAATATTATTATAAATAAGTTTTAAGTTAAAATATAATAGGTATATTTTTAGTAAATATAAAATTATCTTACATTTGTAGCATTATTATTTGGTGTTAAATAATAATGGTTTTGTGTATTTAATAATTTAATAGATGGCAGTATTTTCTTATAAAACAGATATACTACTTTTATAATATTATAAATTATAATATTTAAACAATTTTAGTATTTACCACCAGTTAGGATGTGATATTACAAAGATCCAAATTTAGTTAGAGTAGGTTTTTTGGGTCCTGAATATGTTTACTTAGTACCTCTGAATTGAGTTAGCTAGTAAATTTTTGAAATATAGTATCCCCAGTGATGTTACCACTGGAGGTAAATAGCAACATTCTATTTAAATAAATAAAATAAAATAACTATCTGAATCAAATACAACCATATTTATGGTGTATTCAACAGAGCTATTATATGCTTCAAAATCAAATTGTAAATAAAAAAGAAAAGAGCCAGAGTCTAATGTATCATTAAAGAACACATTTCTATTTAGTAAATACCACAAAGATGTTCCTAAATAAACACTATCAGAAATACTATTTTCTATTGTAGTATTATTGAAGTAATTATTGCAATTTGGTACAGCTTCTTTGGCCAAATTGAATTAGAATAATGCATTTACTATATAATATCAATCAATTAAATTAAGATACCTACTTTCATCATTACAAGAAATACTAAAACCATTAACAAAAGTAAAATAGACATCTAGAAAATTAAGATATTAAATTAGCATTAAAATTATAAGAATTTTATTTTGATACAGGTTAAAGTTATCCAATAAGCTATAAAGTTCAATCACACAATCTAAATTAATAGTACCATACAGCGCGGACTATAGTACCCAGATACAATACATTCTACGGCTAAAATCTAAGTTAGTACCCAGGTATTATACAAGAGGTGTATTTTACATAAAAATGATATATACTACATAGTTAATACCCAGGTATTTTACTCTGTAAAGTACCTGGGTATCTTGTATTCAATGGCGAAAAATTTTTATAAAGGGTACTTTGATGTGGGGTACTTTGATATAGGGGGTACTATGGTCTGCACTATATAGTATTAGTAGTAATAGCTTGGGTTTCTTTACTCCAAGTCAAAATAAGCTTTCCTTTAAAATTATAAAAAACCAAAATTAAAAACTATTTACTTGGCATCAGTATAATAGTGTTATAATCATATGATATTTTAATACTAGATTAGTGATCTGAACTGTTTAATCAATAACTGGGTTAACTGTTAAACCATCCAAGTTACGGTTAAGCCAACTAATAAATCGGTTATTTTAATGATTAACCAGGTATGTTATGGTTAACTAAGTATATTATAGTTAACCAGTTATACTAAGGTTAACTATTAAACATAACAGATCTTGCTCAACAATAATTATTACTTTAAATTATCTAAACATTCCCACAGTTCCAATTCAGATATCTATTTACTAAACACTAAATAGCTTAATGTGTGATTATCTAAATTTAATAAAGAATTATTAAACTTTGATTACAACAGTACATTGTATTTAAAATTAGATAGATAGGCATGATAATAAAATCAACTATTACTATAAGCAATAGTGTTGGTAGGCTTTCACAAGGGCTCAGGCTATCCACAGGTACCCTGAGGGTAGTACCATACAGACGGGTTAAGGTATTAATTTTTGGACACTAGTGTAAGGGTAAGGGCTCAAAGTTACTAAGCCCTTATATAGACCAGGTTGAATAAACTACAGTATGTGTCGCAGTGACGACTATAGGAATGCTTGGTTATAAAGGTTCGAGTTTCGGTCATAATGTCACATGGGCACGTAGTGCCTGTGATGATCAGGGTAATAAACATTAATTGGATAGATTAGTGATTTTATGCATGAGTAGTTTATTTGTAATACATATGTAGTAGAAATAATCTATAGTAGTAGTGCATCATTGATTAGAAAGTTTATTATAGCTTGTACATTATCTTGCATTAAGAATGTAGTAATCAATTTGTAGTCTAATAAAGTAAAACCTGTATAAATAGAGTAAGGAGATTAGTAAGTCTCAAGGCTCTTTTTCCTTGAAAAACAATAAATAAAAAGAAAAAAATACCTGTTTGCTTGATCTTTTGTTCCTTATAACCTAAGTCATTTGTGGTGTTGCAGTAAAGGTGTTGAAGGTAAAATTAAAGATGGAGTAAGGTGCCTTTTGATATAGTGTGTATTTTGATAGAACCCGAAGCTGTTGCAAATTGAGCTAGATTACAAGAGATGAACTTCAGCTTTTGTTAACAAGGAAAAACCTAGACAAAGTTAAAGCCCTCTCGTATTAACCTGAAATATATTAGCACAACCTGAATTCAGCTTCTGCTAAATAAATAAATAAATAAATAAATAAAAGTGAAGTTAATTTGAAGTTTGGCTTTGCAAAGGACATTCTAAGTAATAAAATGTGTGTTACCCTTGTAGTGTTAAGGTGTTAGATCAATCTGAGTGAATGTATAGAACCCCAAAGTGTCACCGTCAAGCTAGATTACAAAAGATGAACTTCAGGTTTTGTTAACCTACTGTAACAGTATATTATATATGTGATTATCTTTGCTTATATCTATATAAAAAAATTGACATTTTTTTTCTCTTTGGTTTAACTCTACATTAATAATACAGATGTCTTAATTACAATATACTGTCATATAGTTCTTGGTGAAACCTTATACTTAGTAAGAGGGATGATAATAGATAACAAATCTTGTAGCTAAATAGAAAATAACAATCAAGTTGAAGTGAAAGTTGAAACGAACATATCACATGATAACATAACTGACTGAAATTATTATTAGGATCACAGTGTTGGGTAGCATCTAAGTGTTGGATTATGATTAGTTGCACATAAATTTGCGGTCCCATAGGACTGTGAAATCCAAAATGATAAGATCTGCAAAGGTATACTATAATTAGCATAATTGATGTAATATTAGCAATAAGGTTATGTCATGCGAAGTTTAATGATGTAAGTCTATAGAGCTATTTAAGAGTCAATTGTAGTCTATTAGTAATGTGATTTGAAAGTCAATTAGATTGATGATGTAATCACATATGATCTAAAAATTAAATAAATAGAAGGTTTGATCTAGAGATTAAACTAGACTTTGATTTTTTCGGTAACATTTTGTGATATACTAATTGAGTAGTAGAGAGGATGTAAAGAAGGTGGTGTTAAGTGAGAAAATGAAGACTGAAGTAGACAGTAAACAAGTACAGAAACAAACAAATAAAATAAATAATTATACAACTCGTCTGCTAGAATTAAATATCTAAGGATTTATTAACCCCTTGTCAAATAGCTTCTGGTTTTATTGTAATATTATTTTAGTTTAAAACCTCCATATGCAATATCAAAAAAAGGTGTCAAATTTTGATAAGATATAAAATTGACTAGTTAAACTTAGTCAATTAAAGGATTATTAACTACTAATACTAGATCATATGTAATCATAATATTAATCAAAAAATATTTACGATATTATAATAATCATATGGGGCTAATTCAAAACATGCATATAAGCTAACTATCATGCCCCAAAATTTTTAGTTAATGATCTACAAGTTCATATTTTGCTAAAGCCTAGTGGAGCAGGTTATTTGGCAATACAATTGTCTGACAACCAACTTATTAAACAATTAACTATACCATTTTTGAGATAGAAGGTTTTATGATAATAATATCAAATAGCATGTTTCAGTAGGCTTAGTCTAATGGATTAAACAATAATCTAATAAGTTTTAAGTGCATCTAATAGTTCGATGCAATTCATTAAATCCTTCTTGCAGAATGGTGTAAAATAGACTCTCAATAAATTGAAACAATCACCCTAATCATTCGTCAGACCAATAACAACAAATCAAACAAAGGATTCAATATGATCAAAGCAAGAAGTTATATTTACAATGCCAATGTTTCAAAATGGTAGAATCAAAATGATAGTATAATGGGTTTGTGTGGAAAAAAGAAGAAAAAGTGTTGTTAGTAAGGATGTTAATATCTAAAAGTGAACAAGTAAAAGAGAAATATACATATTGCAATATAGAACAATCGATAGTGAAGAAAATTGTAAGAAGAAAAATAATCAGACCTAAAAATAGCTTAGAAAAAAAATATATAAAAGCAGTAACAAAAATAATATATTAGAGTCTTTACACTTAACACTATCAATAAAACTCATAAAACTATTTGGCATCGCAATAATAATTATATTTTCATTTCACTTACAAGTTTTTTAAAAATTTAATAAACATTATAATTATAAAAATTTGTAATTTAAATGGAGGAACTTTTAAGTGAAACAGACTCAGACATTAACAATAATAGCTTTGAGGATGAAGTAGATTTTATAGATCAAATAAATTATACAAATAAAATAAATTATGAAGATATAGTAGATCTTGAAAATAATGAACCAGAATGACAAAAGATAGAAGAGGAACAAGTTACCAATACTACACAAGTAAAAAAAGCAACCTCTAAAAAACAAAAGCATAATGTAAACAATTCTCAGTCAGAAACAGAAGCATCTACATTCACTCTTACTAAAAAACCAAGTATTATACAAAAGAACTTACCCAAGAGAAAAAAAGATGGATCACAAGTTAGAAGCTGGATTTGGAAGTATTTTGATAGACTTACACCTCCGCCAGATAAAGCTGCATGTGGAAAATGTATAGTAAAAAATGGAAAAAAATGTGGACATACGATTTATACAGAAGGTTCTACAAACAATATAAAACATCATCTTTTGAGTATACATGGTTTAACAGAATGTGAGCCAATATCATATAATTCAAGCCAAATGAGCATTAATTATTCTTTTTAATTAGCATCACGTAACAATATTAAAAGAAAAACAACTATTGATCAAGCTTTGACTAAATTTATTATTTTAGATAACCAACCTCTTTCTATAATTTCTAGTGAATCATTTATTAATTTTATTAAAACACTTGACTCTTATTACGAACTTCCCTCTAATATAAAATTAAAAGAATTTATTTATCAAGGGTTTAATTAGGTATAAAATTATATTAAATCATTGTTTTCTGACAGTGCCACTTTTGTTAATTTAACTGCTGATATATGGACTGCTCGAAATAATATTGGTTATCTTGGGGTTATATGTTCTTGGATTACTCCTAATTTTGAAATAAAAGAAGTTACACTTAGTATAAGAGACTCAAATATCTATATACAGAACTATTAATTGCAACTACTTTGCAAAAAATAATTAAAGAATAGAGTTTAACTAATAAGGTTTTTATTATAACCACTGACAATAGTGTGAATATGGTTAAAGCAGTTAGATATATGGATGGTATAAGTCGTTTACCTTATATATCACATACTTTGCAGTTGGTTGTTGAGAAAGATCTTAATCCTATTAAAGTTTTAATTGCATAGGCTAAAAGGTTAATTCATTTTTTTATGAGCCCAAAGCAATCAGAACGTCTTGTTAAAGCACAACATTATTTGAAAGTTCAAAATAATAATATATTAATTAATAATCATAAATACTTACATACAATTTTTGATATATCCACTAGATGAAACTCTTCCTATCTTGCTTGAACATACCTTTTGAAACTTAAACATGCTATTGCAGTTATAATAATTAATTTAGCTGATAAAACTGATCAACAAAGTAAAAAAGATTATCAATGATTAAAACATATTGTTTTAACTGAAGATGAATAGTTTTTATTAGCTGATCTTACTAAAGTCCTTAAACAATTTTATGATACGACAAATTTATTAGGTGGTAGTCAGTATTCTACAATATCTTTTTATGTATACAGCAATTATAACAATTAAACAAAGTTTAAGTACAAATATTGTTGAAGATGAAGTAGTAGACTATATATGCTTATCTGACGCTTTTGCTAATGATTCAGATTTACAAGATGATGAGAAAAATTATGACCAGAGTATAGCAGAAGAGGAAATGAATAAAAAAATTTAAAAATTAATAATCCTCAGGTTACTAATGAAGTTCTTAATAAAATTAAAATCGCTCTTTTAAAAATTTGAATTATTATTGGAAACTACTTACAAATGAGGCTTTATTAGCAACAATATTAGACCCACGCAATAAGAGAATAGATAAAGCAACAGCTACTGATCGGTTTAAAGCTGAAAGTCTTTTAATTACAGAATATAAACTTTTAAAATCTGATGAATTTGAAACTGTTATTCAAAATAATTCAGAGGAAAATGAGGAAAATGAATTACTGCATACAATGTATGGTTCTAATCTACAAAGAGTAAAAACAAATAAAGTTGAAACTATTTGGTGCTTAATCAAATTCTAAGCAATCAAAATCTGTTAGTTTGGTGGGAAGGACAAAAAATTCATTTCCAATTCTTAGCCAATTAGCTAGAAAATATCTTGGAATTGCTGCAACTTCTACTTCTAGTGAACGATTGTTTTCAGATGCTGGAAATATAATGACTAATAAAAGGACTCGCTTGAGTTCTAAGCTTTTTGAAACTATGATTTTTTTAAAACGAAATATTAAAGTTGTAAATTCTATGTTTCCTAATAATAATTAGATTGATTAATATTATTTTTATATTTTGCAAGAGTTCTTATTATAGATTCTTTTTTGTTTATTATAAAAAGCAAATGCAAGCAAAGAGGCTAGAGAGAATTGCATACAAGGGATTTTGATTTGTACTAGAGATAATTGTGAGAGCGTAAAGAAAATTATATGCAAAGAAATTTTATTAGTAATATGCAAGAGGTTTTTGATTAGTATTAAAGAAAATTTTTTATCATACATAAAGATATATACTATTTTATCATGTGCTATTTATTAAATCCTGCTGATTTGAAATATTATTAATAAATAACTTATGTATATTGTTTTAGAATTAGTATAAGTTTACTCAGTATATAAAATTTTAGTGATTTAGGGTGTTCTTAAGCATCTTACTCAATAAATCAGAAGCAAATTTTTAATAGTTAAAAATTGAATAAATTAATCAAATGAGCTACCATTGCAATGAACAAATTAGTAAGTTACAAACTATCTTTTTTTCAAAAATAAACTATTGATAAAGGTTACTTAAGCATTACATTTAATTTTTTTATATATCAAATATAACAAACAATAAATTCTCAACAAATTACAAACTAATATGAAAAAATAGCTTCTTTATTTTTAATTCTTAAAGCTTTTAAAATAAATATTTGATATCTTGATATTAATATAAAATAAATACATCATTTTTAATATTTAATCAAACTAAAAAAAAACACTCTTACAATAAATTATTGTCTGCTAACTAAAATGAAAATTAAGATTTGTAATAAAAAAATTTTATTTCTTGTAGCTGTAAAGCAACTTTCACTAATAATTGATTCTGTTACTATTACAAATAATTTAAATTGGTAAAATCATTAAAAGAAGAGGCCAATACAGCCAAAGTTAAAGTTTTAGCAATTGGTTGATAGAAATTTTTTAAGGTGTTTTAGATGGCATAATGTAAATTATGAAAATAGAAAAAAAGTATGCTCAAGCATTTAATTCTATAAATATCATCTTTGATTGTGATGCTTAAGCATAATTATTTAGAGAATATGCTTGCAAATCTGGGTAGAACAATTACAGAGAAGTCAAATACTAAATATAATTTTATTATGCAAGAATCTATATTTTCATAGAGTTTCACCGGTTAACCATGAGTTTTAATTGAGGTTAACTAGTTATAGATTTTTTTCAATAGGTTTAATTATTGGTTAACCGGTTTAACCTGGTTTAGATCACTAAAATGTTCCATCTCAAATATGATGCACCAATTTGGTCCCCTTCAGAGTCAAAGTTGATACATTAGATTCGAATTTGGTGTATTAAATTTAAATCTTTTATTTGTCATGTGAAACGATCATACTGTGATCTGTATAGCCGTAGGATTATAGTACAGTATAATCTTATCACCTGCTGAATAAAACTGAATAAAATAGTTGCTTGATGTTACACATCCATATAGTCTTATCCGAATCTAAATTGCTATTGGTAAATGAATATCAGAATGTGGCAATGAATAAAATTGATCCCTGCTGTGGTGATAGAATGACAAATTACATAAATTTTTGTTGGTCAGGGGCTGAGAGGGCTGAGTTCACAATTTTTTCATTGTAATTCTTTTGGTTCTTTTGCCTTTCACCATGTTCTTTGACAATTATTGATTATCAATTAATCAAATCGGCAAAAAATCCAGAAAAAAAAGTATATAATTCCAAAGAAACAAAAAATAAAAGTACGAATTAAGACCAAAATATTCAAAAATTAAAAGAAAATACATTTTTTGCATTAACATAAAATAGTATACACACAAAATATCTTGATGACAGCTTATATGCTCTTGAACCATATCAGCATCTGAATCATATCAAAAATGAATTGTATTAGTAATGCTCTGAAATGGTTGACTGGGTTTTACTAGTTAATAAAATCATATCATAATACTAACGCTAATAAAAAAAAACTTTAATTTAATAGTGTTTTAATTGCAATTAATTTATGCTATTTTTTAGCATTTTATAATTTACATGAATTTATTACTAATGCTTTAAGATAACTATGAATTTAAACACATGTCTGAACAAACAGCATTAGTTTCAAAACTACTTCTTTTAACATCAATTAAGTCAGCTTCTTCAGTCAACTGGAGCGCTAGTAACTAATTACATGATAATCTCTAGCCATCATAACCAAGTGTGGATATTCAAATTCATGTTTCTTCTACCATTTAAGAACATCTTGTTTTCTGTTTGTCTGTAGAGTACTTAAAATAACTCAACTTCGTTCTGCTGTTCAACCTTACGTTTTTTCTATTTCATAAATATAATCCAGAAGAAAATCACTATCATTAATAATATCATTTTCCTGCCAAAATAACTTTACTATAGTAGTTCTTTGAACATTATCACTGTATATATGTGATACCTTATTTATTTTATACTATGTCCTCTTTTGCTTAATGAAACTTTCTTTTAATTAAGATACAGTCGACTAGGTTAAGCATGATATTTATCAATATTTTAATATTTATATATTTATTCAGTTCTAAATTGAGTCTATCGCATACCAAGACTTGTTATGAAACATGAATCACATTTCGTAAAAGTTACTCAAAAATATTTAGAATAGTGTTTTGAACTGTTCAACTGAAAGTTTAACTGAGGCTAATCCGGATAGACTTATGGGTATTCTCAGCCAATCGCTGATGTTTGTTTACATTGGGTGAAATAGGATGTGTCAATCCTATTTTACTCGATATAAACAAACATCAGCGATTGGCTGGGAATACCCATAAGCAGTATTGTCACAGGACAGTTGTGGACAGTGAGTTTAGACACTTTAGACAATTTTGAACAATTAAATAAATTAAAATTACTCAAAATTTTATTAAGATAATCTATATTACTTTCTAAGTAAAAAATGTTCTGCACCTAAAAAAATATATAGTTATATATTTTAAACAAATTTATTAATTATTAAAGCTTAAGTATACTCTGGACATTTTGGACACTTGGATATTTGGACATTGGACAGTATCAAAAAAGACTTTGGATAGTCAAAATGTACATCCCTGCTCGTAAGTCTACCTGAATTAGCCCCGGTTGAACTTTCGGTTGAACAGTTCAAAACACTAATTTAGAATCAAAAATTAAATGTATTGCAGAGAAAGTTAAATTATTTTTAGAAGTTGGCAAAAATAGTTCTAACTTTGACATACAATACTGATTAAAAAATAATATGTTTTAACTATCGAAAAAAATTTAAAAACTTGTGATCTAAATACGATAAATTTGAACTTTTGATTGTAATATTTTCTATTGTAATTATTTTCAATTTCGAGCCCTTAATGTTAAATGTAAAAAATTTGATATGTAAATAAGATTGAACCCGGGTAATGTGATGTATTTTAAGCTCAGGTTTACAGCTATTATCATTATTTCTGGAACATCTGAAGAATTTTCAGATGATTAAGATATCCTCTGTTTCATTTAGTAAATTACCTAACTTCTCGAAAACTATATCGCTGTCTCCGAACCTTTAGTCTGAAGACAGTGAAGTAATTTTTGAAGAGCTAGATAATTTACTGAATGATATTTCAGTCATCTGAAAATTCTTCAGATGTCTCAGAAATAATGATAATAGCTGTAAAATTCGAGTTTTACTGACATTTCAGAGCACTACGTATTAGTATCAAAACATTGAAATACCAGGAACATAAATATATAGTTTATTGGCAAATAAACTAAAAGCAAAATCTTAATGCTAATTAGATTATACGTTTGTACATAGTGATGTACCATTTATATGTTACCCAATTTTTTTTTTTTTTTTTGAATATTAATGGTGAGACCATGTCTCTGTCTTTATTAAAATTTAATTTAACTCTCTTACA